TGGATGCTGGGCTCATGTTGCAGCCTGGTGGGGTCTCGTGGGCGGAGGTGGCGTGAAGGAACTTAAAGGTTGTGGCTTCGGGTGCCACACTGAAGCTAATACAGTCAAAACTCAGTTAAACAGACTAATATATGAGAAATAAATACTGTGTATACAATTCAATACAAGCTTCATTGTATCTCTATATGTTTTATATGATATATATAATATATACATACAGTACCATATATGTATACAATATATACAGCATGTATATATTGTATCTAAATATGCTATATCTGTTTATGCCCTCTGGATTTTATAACCTATCAACACAGTCAATAAAATCGTTCCTGTGCCTTTTGGTATCGTAAATACACAAGCTCTTCAGTTCATGTGTTGTAAATATCCTGTATAAAATTCGCTAAAGGGTACGGAATACAAACACCCATCGTCAGTAAATGACCTACCCCTACAGGGTTCCATTGATATTCCTGAATTTTAAGCCTACGTAGGATTTCTTTTTACCTTGTTTTATTATTTGGGCATTTAACAGAGCTTTTTCTGCACATTGTAAGCAGTTCAGTGTATTTTTTAAAAAGACAGTTTTTTAAAAAATCCGCTTAAGCCTACGCAACGCAGACAACACCCATTGTAAACAAGTGGCCTAGCCCTGTACCAGTTGCCCTATACTTTGTCCTGTAATGGGGGAGGAGTCTGGTATTTCTGATTTTACAGACAAAATTCCCCTTCAAGAAGCCTTGAGCTGTTAAACCGAGGGCTTACTGTATATACGGTCCAGTTCGACGGCACGTCCCCTCAGCAGAGGAGGAGGACGGCTGGACTATTACGGGCCGTTCTGCTCTGGACCGGAGTGGGCAGGGCGGGGCCCCGCGCCTCACGGTCCTCGGAGACGGCGAGAAGCCCGCGGGGCAGGACCCAGTGCCCTACAGAGCCGACAACGACGCGGCTTCCTGTAGGAGCCGCGCGCACTGCTGTCACTATAGCAACCAGGCCTGCCTCTGGGGGCCCCTGAGAAAATACGGCCTGGCCCTGCTGGCAGCAGGCCCGAAAGGCGGAAAAGCCTCCTGGAGGTACTCGGTCCATGAGGTAACACCTCTCGGGCCCTGCATGGACGTCACTAAAGTCCCTGTAGGTGGCTGTGCGTCTTTGAAGAGAACTTCGTATTGTGTGTCAGGGCTGAGTGGGCTGGGAAAATATTTTGTTTTCTTTTCCTTTTTTGTTCATCTTATCCAGCAGGGGGGCACGGGTTCTGTGGGTTCAGGGGCTTGTTGGACAATCTTGATGTGTAAATTTTGGAGATGGGAAGACACAAAGTGCAGCGTCCGCAGTTCGCAACATTACATGCATGCAAATAAAAACAAATCCATATAAAACATGTAATCTGCAGGGAACTGTCATCCCTTGTGAGGTATACGACTTATTACTTATGTTAGAGCTCAGCTAAAAGTTTATGGTTTATCAAATGAGGAAACATTATATTTTGATGCAATGAACAATAAAGGTTCATTCCAAGCTGGAAAATATAAAGGAGAAAAACAACATTTTGGCTGGAGAGCGTTCTTGATGTTTTCCAATTCACAAATTGTTTTTGTGATTACCATTATGATGATGGAACAAGTAAAGGTTTATTCCCTGCTGAAAAGAGAAGAAAGAAAACACCACGTTTCGGCTGTGGAGCCTTCTTTGGGTGTGAGAAAGACAGGGCAGTCAGCAAAGGTAATGTAGCGTGGGAAAACACAAGCCAGGAGAGAGGAGGAGGCGGGAGCAGGGGAGAGGCAGAGAGGCCACATTATGATGATTTCAAGTTTGAAACTGTAACTTTGTGTTCTGTGTAGGCTTGGAATCTGTGGTCTGCACTTTTTAGTACATATCTTCAGAATAAACAGCCAAACAAAAAAACTGAGGACACAAGTGGAAAGTAAGCACGTTTCAAATTAAGAACAGGTGGCCCTTCTTTACACAAAGGGTTGTGGGTGCATGGAACAAACTACCCAACCATCTTATTGAAACGCATTTCCTGACTGTTCTTAAGAAGAAGCTGGATGAGATGATTGGATAAATTAGCTACTAACCGCTAGATGGTCCACAAGGAGTACTCTTGTTTGTAATGTCTAAAGGCTAGTTGTTGTGTATTAATGACTGCAGCTCTACGCAGTGCTGTAGTCGTGCTATGAGAGTCCTTCAGTTGTGAGATCTCAGCAGTTGAACACTTCTACGCCAGGCTTTTGCTCTGAAGTGGAAAAATAGTCCCTGCAAAAGGAGAACAAGGATTTGCAGTGTATTCTTTGTGAACACTAGCGAATTCCCACATATGAGTTCTTATAATTCTGTATAGGCTCCTAAATGAGATGTATATACATGGTCCACTCAGAGTAATCCCACTCATCTACACTTCGCAAGCAAATAATTGGAGACTCTGATTAAAGTACACATCCTGTGGTAAATGCAGGGAAGAACACTGCGAGTAGGGGGCACATCTTTGCACTTCTTTACACTAAGGGTTGTGGGAGTATGGAACAGGCTGCCCAGCCATGAGATCCTCGGATCAGTTAGCTGCTAAAACCAAAGCCGTCTTACGCTATGTGACTGTAAAAGGTTTTCCAATTTTTTTTGGCCCCATGGGCGCATCTTTTCTCTGGTAATGCAGTGGTCTGGATACAACAGCGGAAGAAGAGCAGAGCAGGAATAAATTCAGGTGGCTGGCAAGAGACCGAGACAGAGGCCCAGTTCAGAAACAAACACTGTGTTTTGAAGAAGATCTTACCTGAGCTAGTTTGAGCTTGGCAGTCCGTTTAAAACCCAGTACCAGCCTTACATCTATTTAAAAGAAACACATAAACTGCAGGACGTCTGTACTGTAAGCCTTTCTCTATTAACACTTCTCTGTTAGTATTAACAAAGAATATTAGTAACTCAGTGTCAATATCAGTCATTGACACAGACTGCAGCCGGTCCTGTTCCTGGAGGCTCTTGACCAGTGGCGGGTTGCTCAGGGGCAGAAAGGCCGTTGGGAAGTTGCTCAGCTCCTCGGGTGGTTTGGCCCTGGCGAGGATAGCAGACGGCTGTAGTTGAGGATAGTCACAGCGGTGGAAGAGGTTACGATGGAGAATAACACGAGGGTGTCTAGAATTTACAAATATGCAACTGGACTGTAAAGATGTACTCTGGATTATTAAAACTCCTCCTTTCTTGAATTTGATATTTCAGCCCTGCTCTTGTGTCCAGTCGAGCTAAGCGACAGCTGTACTGGAGCTAGCCTAGTACGCAATGTGTGCACTGCAGCAAGCGATCTGACGTCAACCGAATTCGCACAGAGCTTCCATTTGGCAGGGCTCGCCGTTGCTGTCCTGACATGGGCATTACCCTTCTGTTCCAGTTATATAATACAGGACAAAGCCCATTGTTCCAATGCTCGCGCTCTGCCCCGTCAGACAGCGTGAATTTCTGTTCATAAGGCTCGTTAATCCAGTAAAAAACAAACACAGCAACACAGAGCTCGCTGCGCGGCCCTCCGCACAGATGTGCGGCCTGAGAGCTGCGACGCCGCCAGCGTGTGGCGGTTTGTGTGTGCGTGTTTCTGGAAGCAGTATCCCGAGATGCAAGCCTGTGAATGTCCAGTGCAGGTGGAACTTCCACAGGATTGCCATCAAAATAAAAAGAAGTGGGATCTGGGGATTAAAGTTGTATTTCTTTGGCTTAAAAAGTGTAATAAATACTCAAGAGCACATTTATTCTGATCTAAAGCACCATCTTGGTTTGTCTTTTGAATAATTTGCCGGCTCTATACTCGGAACTTGTTGGTAAACTGTAGGTGGCTCAACTGCATATTTAAAAACAAAGAGGGGCGTCTGTGACGAGTCCAAGGGGCGGAAATGGAGGAGCCCATCGCAGGCGGAGCTCGGGATGCCAGGAGAGTTGGAGGAGCAGAGCTCGGGTGCGAAGTTCTTCCGTGGCTCGGGGAGTGTGGGAACGCTGTACAGATGTGCACAGCTGGATGGGTGCACAGGCGGGGGGTGGGGGGAGAGATTGAGGCTCCGACACGCAAGACACGGTCTCCTGTTGACCACATGGGCAATCAGGGGTCCTTGCATGTAGCAGCTGTGCTTCCACCTCGTGGACCCCTATAGGTGGTCCCAGCTCTTTCTCAGCTGGCTCGGTGCGGTTTCGTTGCGCGTCGTGTGATGACTTCAGAGGGGTGAAAAGTTTCTTTTGAAATGTATCGCAGTTTGTAACTCCCAAGAAGTGGTTCTAACTGGAAATGAAATGTTTCTCATCACGGTGATTACACAAGCCAAGAGTGGTCGAGTCCTCGGTGCGCATTAGCCCATGACAGAGCTCGCCTCTGCAAGGGCCTTTACTGGGGACTGTTGTTGGAAAACCCTTCGAAGGCAGTCCCGAGGAATTTCTTAGATTGCATTAACGTGGATGATTGACATGTTGAAATTGTCCCTTTAGTGTGCTGGACACACAGCACTCATTAACACGTTTCCACAAATGCGAAAACCCTCTGGATGCATTCAGATCTGTCTGCACCAGGGATCTCTGTATCTCTGGGAATCCCAGTCATCGACTTGGGGTTTATCTGGGGTCTCACTGTAACCAGGTGCCTTGCCGATTTTGTTACCGCTTAAAATTAAAGCCAAACTCCTGAACTTTTTTTGCGGTGCGCATTTCTCGGTTTTTGAAAAGATCTCGCCGTATCTTGCTTTTTATTTTCCCTCTCTCTTGAAATCCCCCCACCTTCACGTCAATAAGGAGCTTAGACCGACACAGTAACGAGTCCCAATTAAAACTCTGATTGATTCATCAATGAGGGGAGGGGATGTTATTTACTTCAGCTCCCAGATCATGCCAGGAATTCCTTGGCCCAGTACAGGTCACCCTTTGGGACCTCTGACTGGAAAAATGGAGAACTTCTTGGGGTTTCTCTTGAGAGCGTAGCTGTGTGTGTGGCGTCCGAGAGCTGTGCCCAACGCCTGCCTTTCCGTCTCTTCCAGACGTGCCAAACTGCGGCTCTACCTGGAGCAGCTGAAGCAGCTGGTGCCCCTGGGGCCCGACAGCACTCGACACACCACACTGAGCCTCCTCAAGAGAGCCAAGATGCACATCAAGGTAAGGCAGCATGCGTGGCCCTGTCCTCCCAGCCTGCAGGGGGCGCTGTCAGAGCAGGACTGCAGCCCCGGAGACTGGACTGTGGGAAGAGTCGTGTGTTTTACCCCTTGGGTTATCACGATACCTGCAAAGGCAGTGGCCCTCAACTGCTGAGCCGAGCCGCTCTGATCCGGCTGGTTGCTCAGTGGAGTCGATCAGCTCGAAGCCTGTGTTTTCGTGCTTATCTTGGGTATTCTGCTCCTACAGTACCTACAGCAGGGCTGGTGAAACTTAAGGTTGTCTTTGCCTCAGTCTAGTGTCACACTGACCATGCGGCCTCTTCGACGCAGTCCATCACTTTTGCTTCCTGTACGTCTCACTCTTTTGGTGTTGTGGTGATTGAGCTCTTGGGAAAAGCTTGTGGTTGTCAGCCCCATTACAGAGCACGAACAAAGGATAGGAGCTTGTGCTTAAGCATCCCTGACCTCTCAAATGCGGTATGTCATGAAAAAAACATTTTTTAGAAAATGATTTCGGTGTTTCATTTTCTGCGCCTCTCTTCTGAGCCGGATTTTAACAAGAAACCTGTTTATGCCAAGCAGATCCAGGCTCATCTCATATTGTCCCGAAGAGGTTTTCTGAACGCTCCCCTTTTTGCCCAGAAGTATTTTCAGTCCTTGTGAACCGGTATATTCCAGGACTGTTTTAAAATGGCCGTGAGCACTCCTCTATGTGGCTGACTGCTGGTTTAATACAGTGCTTCACACGGTTAGGAATATTTGTAGTAAAACCAACTTAAAACTGAACATAAATTCCTGTCATTCCAAACATATACTGTATCTCCTAATGCTGTGTTTTATTTCCATTTTTTGATAAATGTGTACTCAATGCAGGTTCAGGGAGCAACAGAAGGGAAGACAAGTCGCACCGTAAACCAACTAATAAAGTAAACATTTATTTACTAAATGTAATAAAGTCTTTATTTTTCAAAGCTTGCGTTAGCAGCCCTGAGCAGGGGCCTGGAGATTGCGTGCTGCTAGCGAGGGTCGGGTCTGTGTATGCTGCCTGAGGCTGGGTCTGTTTAATGCTTTGAACGGTTAAATGTTGTTGACTTGGTACAGTTGACAGACCCGGGTCCTGCCACAGTGCAGTGCGATAGACAAACATGAACACATGGGCCATATATTTATAACACTTAGGCGCTTAAATCTCCATGGGAGGTATTAGGGACTTAAGCTCCTAAGTGTTTTGAATACAGGGTTCATAATCTCCAGTTAGTAACATGGTGCTTATGTGTACTAGTTTGTTAGAGCACCTTCTAGCTAAATAACAAAACCTGATTTGGCGTACATTAGCCAGCATCCTTGCGCTTAATTTACATTTAAACCTGAATTACCTGGACAAAATTAATATGGTAGTTTCATTTCAGCCAAGCCAAAGAGGTGACTAGACCTGCTGAGCTTCTGAGATTCTGGCACCTATCCACAGAGACTTCTATTTGAAGGCTTTTACACAAGTGCATATTTGAGTGAAGGAATCTGACTGCAGTACGTTGTTCCAAGATACTCTCACCTGGGACTTCAGCTCTCAGCATTCCAGCTCCAAACCCAGAGTCTTAACCCCTGTTTTCCCCATTCCTTTAACAGAATCGTCAGACTTTTAGTTTCACGCTGTACAGAACTATCTCCATACTGAGAAGCTTTAAAGTTTAAAAATAAAATGGCGAAACAGAGACTGATCTGGAATATGTAACAAGCATAAAATAAAAAAAAAAGAATTATCAGCAGTCCAAACATGACAGGTAGCTGAATTGTAATGTTTTGTTAATGTCAGTCTTTGTACACATATTGAGGTAGATTCCAAGCGAGCAAGCTTGCCTTTTTGAAATATGTACTGCAATGTCTAGACATTTATATGGTTGCACTTTAGCAAAGCCTGGGTGTACCTGTGTCAGTCTGATACCAGGTGATAAAGAAGGGAGTTGTTAGCGCATCTGTCCTAGGGCTTGTTTGTGATGCAGTGCAAGTTCGTGTGATGTATTCCCCGTGTGCTTGTTTTCAGAGGAACTGGGGATTTGCAATCTGTGTTTTTGTTTTGGGATTGTGAGCCAGTGGAGGTTTTGATTTCCTGTGGTTCCTGCACGGCCCATTAATTCAGACGCTCATTAGCGGGACGCACAAATTGCTCTCCCAGCCGCTGAACCCTGGCGGGGACAGGTTTTAAACGGTCACAGGACGTCTTGTACGCTTTCTGGGACAACCTAACCAGCCCGAAACACTCCCCGCTTGTCATGCTGAAAGATCGGGGATCCGCCACAGCCCCTGAGATTGCGTGACCCAGTTGATGCCTCAGCGCCTGCAAAACTTTGTTTTTGACACTGTGCTCCTGAAACTTGAAATAAGAACAGAGCTACCAGGAGCTAAAGCAGAACTGGGTCTGTGCCGTCAGGGTGTGATTTGTCTTCTGCTGGCGGAGGGGCTAGTGTATCAGCAAAGTCTGCGATTGCCGATTTGTGCCAGGAAGAAGGTGAATGTGTTATAGAGCATCAGTCACGTGTCGAGGGGAGTGGTTGTAAGTGTATTACATAATCCCCTGGCTTCTGAATGCTTGAAAAAGAGCAGTTCCATTCAAAATAAAGACGTACAAAGCTGAATGGCCACATGTGTTGAGGTGTGTTCCCGCATATTCAGCTAGTCATCTGCAAAGTGTTGATTCAGTGCTCTCATTCCATTTAAAAGGACCAGGAACACGCTGTACTGCACATTCGGTGTAATAAACTGGAAAATGTTTCTCTGTTTAAGTGGAACACTCATGTGATTATTCCCATAAAACTTTCATTCTTGAAATGCCTGAATCATAATTTGCATTTAACCATCAGTAAAAGAAATGCAATAAAATCTTGACTGACCTTGTAAATGTAAATGTTTCAGAGAAAAGTACAGTTAATTCAATTGTTATTTCAATTTCTCTGGTCTAGTCTTGTACGGGTCCGGTCAGTGGCCTGTTTAAAGAGTCCGCACTGCAGTCACGTACCGCAGAGTCAAGATGTGCTTCAGATTAAAACCAAGGCCGCGATATGGGACCAGTGAGATGTTTTGTCATTTCTCACTCACTCTTTGACTGGAATAGTTCAAAACTGGAACACAGCTGCTGAAGAGCACATTGCAGCACGTTCCACTCCAGGCCTGGATGTGTTGTGTGCGCAACATCGTACACCTGGGCCAAACTCGTCCTCAGGGCTGGCCGTGGTCTAGCTTGACTCGCCGGGTCTCTAAACTAAATCTCACACGAGAGGAAAATGTTCATCTTTTTGGGTTTTTTTAATATATGATTCGGAGTAAGCTGACTTCTGCCGACTAGAATATAAAAATATTTTAACCTCACATCTCTCACTGTGGCTTGATTCTGCTTTGGTCATTTCAGATATCCCGTCTAGCCTCTGATTTTGTTTTTTCAACGGCTTCTGATGTTTAAGGGAAGGAAAAGATATGTAATTGACTAAATCTGATTAGGAGTGAGCACAGCTTGGAAACAACACTCGGCTGTGTTTTACTTTGATGTTGACGAATGTAAAGCTGCTCTTTAAAGTTGTCGTTGTTGTAGCTGCCCTGAGCTTGGAGTGACTGGCGGTGTGTTGTGCACCCTAGTTCTTCCTGACGCATCAGCGGATCCTGATGTTAAAGTTGGATCTTCTGGCCTGACAGAAGAAAAAGGGTGAGGAACGGTTTGTTCACGACCCTTCGGCCCTCCCTAAAGAAAAACGTCTGTTTGTGCTGCAGAAACTGGAGGAGCAGGACCGCAAGGCCGTCAACGTGAAGGAGCAGCTGCAGCGAGAGCACCGCTACCTCAAGCGCCGCCTGGAGCAGCTCTCCGTGCACGGCCTGGAGAGGGTCCGCACTGACAGCATGGGCTCCACCATGTCCACCGACTCTGAGCAAGGTACGGCCCCCGCCTGGCCCCGCCCCTGTTCCGCCTGGCCCCGCCCCTGTCCTGCTCCTGCCCTGTTCAGATCCAGCCCTGACTCCGCCTACGCTGAGCTCCGCCTATGCTGAGCTCCGCCCCCGCCCTGCCCAAACCCCGCCCTGTGCTGACTTGTCCCGCCCAGTCTCTCCCCGGCCTTGCCCTCCCTGTCCAGCTCTGTGTTAATGTATGAATCCTGTTTTGGTGGAGCCAAAACTCCAGGGAATCACAAAGCCATACTAAAGCTGGACTAGCCCTGGTGTAATGTGTAATAAAACCTGCACTGCCTGTCCGGATTCCTGGAATTCCCACAGGGATTCTGGATTGCCAGAACCCCTGATAACATGAGAGCAACCTGAGTTCTTATTCCCAGGGAGCACATAGTCAGCTGTTAACCACTTAGGAATAGATCAGGAGTCCAGATAAAGCTGTACATGTAGTGCTAATAACTAGAACATTGCAGCCTAATAACCAAAATACGTTTCTGTCATGAAAGCCTGGGGCTTATGTTCAAATTACTGTTTTTTTCTTTTAAAGAAAAGGTCATCAGTTCATATTTTTGCCGGTTTTGAAAGTGTTAACTATGCATTTGAATTCCTCGAGCTCAAAGTGTGGGTGGTGAGGTGCTCTCTTCTTTTCTGAAGTGCGTGCAGGATTAAGGTTACTGTGCGGTGTCCATTACCACGCTGCCATAACAGAGCTCCTGGGAGCAAGGCTGTAATCCTGCTCCGGCTTGTAATACAGCCGGCTCATTCGACACACAGGTCGTCTGCAGCGAGCTGATTGTGTTTGGGAGGGTAAGCAGTCTGTACTCGTGTGAAGAGAGACGGGGGTTATTACGTGCTTTCTCTTCCTCTCCTGGTGCTAGTTCGGATTTTGTGGCTGTAGTGCCTTTAAACATCGTTTGCCTTTGTGTGATTCTGCTAGGGATATAACACTTTAACAAGAAATTTAAGGAGTTTTGAAAATTTTAACCAGACTAACAATAACTAGGAAACATTAAAAAAAAACAACAGCCAGAGAACAAATAGCTACAACTTGCTTATGCATTCTTGCAGTTTTCCTGTTAAGATAAGAACAGAGCTGAATTCTGTGACAGACTGATCACTCCAGAGCGCCTGTCCTGTAGAAACGAACCCTCTCCATCGTCATCTCGTTGATCAGCTCTTGAAACAGGGTGCACTGCCAGATTTCCATTCTTCACGGATATTGTTTTGGCCAGGAAAGGGGTCTTGCAGGAAACTACTGGTCTCTTCCTGGATGTATCACTGAGCAGAACCCTTCTGTTGACTTTGCAGACAGTCCCTGCTCCGTTCACCTGGAACGTCCCTACACAGCAATCGTAATCGACAGCAGCCTCGTAATAAAAGCATGCAGAAAAATGTCAATTGTATAATGTGACTTTTCCGTGGTGTTTTCTGATGTGCACCCTGTATTCACTGGGGGTTTGCAAGGTTTGGTGCATTACTGTAAATCTTATGATGCCGTCATGATAGTCGGTTTGAATTGTAATGTGCTGTTGGCTCTGTAAGGTGATCTAAGCCGGTTCGTTGTACTGTTGTGAAAAAGCCGGGGCACCACGTTCTTCCTATGTTCGAATTAAACAAGAGAGACCTCTCTGTTCTCCGCGTTCGTGTCGGCAACAGCTGCTGCTGTTCTCTTCACCCGCGGGATGTAGCCCGGTGAACAGCGACTGCCTGTTGTGGGGGGTGTATTTGGGGCAGGGGGGCCGTGAGTAAATGGTGTCTGTCTGTCTGTGCCCACGCCAGAGGTGGACATCGAGGGGATGGAGTTCACCCCGGGGGAGATGGACAGCCTGGGCAGCGTCAGCGATGCCGAGGACCCCTACAGCCTGCAGGGCAGCAGCAGCGACGGCAGCTACACACCTTCCCACAGACTGCAGCCCTGCCTGTCGTAGTGCCGCCACGCCAGCCCCAGGCCCACTCTTCCGCCAGCGCGACCACAGACACACTTCTGATCGCTTCCTCGTCCTCCGCACTCTCACCACAGCAGCAGATAGCAGAGCCCTGCCGGGGTTTGGCGGAGAGAACGGTGGTGTGGCCGTACAGTCTTGACTTGGTAACCGGAACCCCGTGTGTGTGTGTGTGCATGCATGCGCGCGCGTGTGTGTGCGCTCTACGCGAATGTTGATTAATAAAACTTGCCCTGTTGCTCTGAAGACATATACAGTAGGAGAAAAAACTCATCGGCACCTTTTGTAAATAGCCTGAAAATAACTCAAAGGTAGTAATACCGGCACTCGCTGGGTTCTAAGAGAGGAGAACCAAAACCAAAAAACAAGCACTTGTTTCTCTAAAGTCAAATGTTGAAAAAGTTAGCAGAGAATTTGATACGTCCTTGAGGATCCTTTGCTGTCCTCCGGGAGGCAAACTGTCTGTTCTCTGAAGCACTGCCTGCAGTTCTGGAATGGAGGCCATTTTTAATTTGATCCTTTTCAGTTTAAAAAATGGAAACAGAATCACTTTTGTTCCACCCCATGGACGGACTTTCTGCACGCGTGGCACCGACTGAGTTCCTTATCACACGCATTCTGAGTGCGCGACTCCTGTTGAGGGAAGCAGCTTTTCGGCTGCTCTCTCAGGCGGGGTTAGTGAAGACGGGCTCTGGAGAAGGTAGTCGAAAAGGACAAAGAACAGCGAGAGATCATAAAGGAGCCTGCATTTATCCAGTCCTGTAGGGCAAGGCTCTCTGACAAGGCTAGGAAAGCAAAGCTGTTATTTTTCATTCTCCTACTGTCTATAGGAGGTTTTCCTTAGTGGTCATTGGGGATTTTTCCCCAACTTTTGAAAACTGTTCATATTTGAAAGTCCAGGCAGTTGAGCAACTTCACACCCACAGACAAACCGTTAAATCTGACATACAGAACAGGGCCCGGGTCAAACCACAATAGCCACGCCTCTGACATATGGAAAACCTTATTGTACCTCTGAAATAAATTAATTGAAAGTTGGTACAATTCTTCAGTGACCAAAGCATTCAGTTTTTCAGTTTCTGCAGCAGGTTGAGAAACGTACCCCTTTCCAAGACATCTCTTTCACAGAAATCTCCCAACTCGATAGATTCCTGAGACTGACAGGATGAAAGTGAGAAAATGAGCTCTCATCCTGGACCTAGATGGCTGCCTTTGTTTCCTGTTCGCAAAAGTCAAACTCCTGTTGGCTTTGGATCCACAGGTTCAGAAACATCAGCTTGAAACCTGGTGGGTTGCATCGCACCCAGACTAGGTTCTGAATTGCAGCCTCACAGGTTGGAACCACAATGGGTCATCACCAGTCTTTTTAAAAAATGAATCATAATTATTTCTGATCAAAGCTTTTCTTGCACTTTTGCATTATTTTATAATGAGTAACCCGGTGTTCTGAACACGAACACTAATATGTGGAGAGTCTGTCTGGGATCGATCGTTTCTGCCTTCTGTAAACAAAGCGTGTAGATATACTCACCTCAGATAATAAATGTAGGCCCCTACCAAGAGCCTTTAGCTATTTCAGTAGGTTTAATTACATGAATGTTTTATTTAGCCAGCAGGAGCTTTACATTGGTGCCAACTTCCCTGCTCAGAGCATTACATATTATCAGTGTAGCAAATTGTAGCATTTGTGACCATTTTTGAACTTGAAAAATGCTGCTTTCAGAGCATTAAATTCTTGCACCCTTTTTGAGTGAAGAGGGAGAACTGTGAGTAGTGATGTCGTGCCTTCAGAGCTTTGTGGAGGAGCAAAGCAGTCCCCAAACCTGCAGAACTGCTTTAAAATTAATCTCTGTTTTTCAAAAAATGCTTTGCAGATGCTGTGTATTCTTTTTTTTGTAACGTCTTGAAAACAATGCGGAAGCACAGTTTGTGTGGCCTCTCCTCTCCGTCCTTCTTAATGGAAAGCACAACTCTGTCTCTAAGGGAGCGCCCTGACCTTTCGTCATTGAATTCAATTCAGTCTTTTCTTTATATAGTGCTTTTCACAGCTGCTTTTCACAGTATGCTTAGAAAAAAGTTATAAAGTGCAGTAAGTTACTGTACCTGGATGGAAAGCAGTTTAGTGTGCCATCAGGTAACAGTGGACAAATGAGGCACAGAGGAGAGAAAAAGCAGACACCCCTCGTGAAGAGAAAACCTCTGGGGTCCAAGGCCCAGCGGACTTGCAGTGGGAGTGGGCAGCTGTGAGCCGAGGGGAAGGCTGCGCTCAGGATGCAGAGGCCTTAAAGTTTCGCTCTTGTTGATTAACAAGGTCGGACCCACCAGCCCCCTGCACATCACTGCAGCTCCTCTCCCACAGGGGCCGGCAGACTTGTTTTTGGGGGGGAGAGGTTATCCCCCTCCCGTCCACAAAACGCAATGTTCCTAACTCGCTAGACCTTAATGACTGTAGATTAAGTTGCAATGAATTTTCTTGTAGACGCAAGTCAGTACTCGTGTGTGTGTGCGCGTGTTTGTGTGTGCGTGTGTGTGCGTGTCGTGGTTCAAGCTTACAAGTCAATCCTGTATGGAAGTTGCCAGCTCTAATGATTAGCCTTACCTGGAGGACTGTTGTACCTGCAGAATGGGTTTGTGTTTTACCCCCCCGATTCTGCTGTTTTGACTCAGTTCGTTTACTGTGGCTGAGAGCGTGCCGGGGAGTGGAGCTCTCTTCAGGCCCGCTGGGAGCCGAGAAAGGCTGTCCCTTTCATTTTATGATTCATCCGCTTTCTTTTTTTGTAACCATGCGATGGCAGTTTTCAAAAGCAGAAGCTTTGCTTCAGAAACAGTTTTTTTTTAAAAAAAAACCTTCAAATTCAGCAGCATCTGGGCATTACTGATTAGGCGTGCATACAGCATATGGCATACGTATCTTGCAAGGCCTGTGTTTCGTTCATCAGGGCTCGAAGCACGTGTGTAATGCAGTGCTCCACGCTCAGCGTTTGTGGAGGAGCAATTTCCTCTTTTTTTAGACTGCAGCAATAGCGCTACTATTACAACTACTACTCTTACTGCTAGAGCTGTTTGCATCTGTGTGCAACCTCTGCTTGGTTACGTCATTAGAGCATGGCCTGTGAAGACATTTTAACGTGTAAAAATGGACCAGTCCTTTGAGAAAGGTCTCAAAAAAACAAAAAAAGTGTATATATGTCTGTATATATGCATATACGCGTGTATATGTATATATTCAAAAACAAAATACAAAAAAACCTAATGCTACGAGACACTTTTAGGTAAGTGATTTTAGCAAGTGTAGTCTATATTTCCTGTATGAAATTTTGTATTATATTTTCCTAAATGTTCTCTTTAAAAAAAGAAAAAAGAAAAAAAAAAAAACGGAGTCGTCTCTGGAGTCAGCCGGAGAGGAGATGCCAGGCGTGCGAGTGACAGGAAGGGTGTGGGACGGTCCAGCCCAGAGCCTGCTCTCAGGGTCTCTCCCACTGTCGTATTGTGCCTTGGTGACTGTTCAGGTTAGCCCTCCCCCCTGCCCTGAGGGAGCCCCACTCCTGCCCGGAGCCCCCCAGACGCCCCCCCCCCCACCCCGAGGAGCCGGGAGCAGAAAGCCGGCAGGTCTGCTCTTTCCCTGCTCTGGCCGTTCCCCGTTTCGAAAACGAAACCCGGGAGAGGACACCGACGGCAGGAGGCCACTCGGGCCCGCGTCGACGTGAGGCTTCAGCCAGCAGGCCGGGCAGCCCCGTTCCAGACTCCCACAACTCCCTTGGCGTGACACAGCGCCTCCTGGGCCCGGCTTCAAGTGCCGGCTCCCACTTGGGAGACCAAAAAACCGAACGCAGACAAGCTGAAGCCGGTCGATAAGAACTGGCTGCCGCCGCCGGGCCCCGTTTTGCGAGCGCGCCTCTTCCCCCCCTCCCCCCCACCAAGGAAGCAAAGGGGGCGGCGCTACTGAAAACGGGGTGCTGGGGAGGGCTCGGCTCAGGCGGCCTCTTCCCAGCCTTCCCCAGGAGCTGTACACATGGAAGCCTGGGTGACAGAGGCAGGGGTGGAGCTCCACGTCCCACTTGTGGCTACGTAACACTGACCATATTGGTGATCTCATGGCAGCTTAAATGTACTCGTTCTCACTTTGTCTGATACTCGGACCTTGCCAACAGTCCTTCTAAATCAACAACCCTCCAGCTCCTTCTAGAAGCTAATTATTAAATGAAGAGGAAGGTACAGTGGGAGTAACACAAAAAAAAAATGGCAGCTGATAAATTAGTTTCCTTCCTTTTCAACGAAGCAGGTTCCAGGATTGTGTTAATGTATACTACACATTCATTAAAATCCTCATTTCTTTGAGGCACGACGCAGCAATATGACGATGTAATGTCAGGAGGCAGTAATAAACTCTTTGTGGTACGTTGTGTAGCTGACTTCTCTCTTCTTTTTCCTGAGCTCAGAGGAAAAGGCAAAATCCTGAAGAGTTTAGTCTCATGTCACGTAACACAACATGACTGTTAATAACAGCAGAATGCTGAATTTCCTATTTCTCCGGTTCATTGGTCAAATGAACACTTGGGTGATATGAAAATTAAAATCTATATAACAAAAAAACCTCTTGCACAGAACCACTCCCATTATAGATGTGTGGCTAAAATTAACAGGGCAGGTAGATGATGGGTTGCTTATAGGTCATGTGCATACAGACTCAAGTTATTTGTATTGGTTTAAGGAACCTGAACACGTGTACTGAAAGGCCTCAGAAAGCCATTAGAGCAAGCGTAGCCAACTTCCTGCTGCGTGCTGGCCGTGTGAATTTACGGACGACAAATAATTAACGAGGCAAATATGATTAACACTTCCTATGTGGAGGTAATTAAGACACATAATTGCACATAAGAATACTGAGAGGCATTAACGACAGAACAAATGCTGTTGCTTCCTGTACTCATTCATTGTGTCTTTAATGCCACTCAGGATGTTGTTACTCTTCAATACCTCCATCCAACTGCCCTGTTTCTGAATTTTCGTTGAGGTCTGGTGTGAAAATGTTCAGATTTTAGGGTGGCTGAACACAAATCGAGCAACTGGACTGACTAAAGCTGTCGCTCTTAACGTAGAACAGGAAACCAGTTATTGGTGCTAGTTGTTGCCATTTTAATAAGAGGACAAATAATGATGGTGAAAAGTACTACTGGCAGAGGCAGCAGTATTACTCTGCTTTAAAAGTATTTGCTCTGCGAACATAGAAATAAAACAAAGCACAATGGAAGATGAGCGTGATTTCCACTAGGGGGACAGTGCTGGCTTGAGTGTGGGCCACTGCCAGTGACTGAGGAAGGGGGACTGTAGAGTTCTGGGAAGAGCCAGGAAGTAGCTGGGAGACGAAAACTGAAGATTCAGCTGGTCTGCCATCTTCAGTGGGTGAGGAGTCGGGTCCTCCAGTTTTCTCCATTACAGGCACAATGCTGAGGTGGGAGTTTGTAACACCCAGGAAAAAACGGCAGCAGTTAAGAAAAAAAACCCCAATATCTTTCCCTCTCCCACGTTCTTCAGTGTTCTCGGTCATTTTATTACTCTCTGCCTTCTCGCTGAAACAATTACGCTGCTTGCCAGTCTTTGCTTCGTGGGCGAAGTCCCGTTTCAGATAGAGGGTGGCTTGAATTCCTCTGCCGCCCGGCCCAGGAAACGGGACGTGAGCAGTTTCGTGAAAGACGGGAAGCGAGCGTTCCCGCAGGCAGAATTGGAAGAACTCTGTCCTCCTTCTGATCCGTGCTCTCGCCTTGGCTCCCGGCCTCCGGGCCGCCATATTCTGGCCCTGTCCGTCCTGCGTGTCGCCCCCCTGGGCCCCGTCCCACTGCGAAGGCTGGTCGGCTCTTGTGAATCGCACCCCGGCAGTGCGATGGGAGGGAGGTGGCAGCTGGCTGAGCCACGTTCCTGTGCTGTCGCCTTGGGTGCCTGTTTTGGGGGTTCTTGGAGCCTTGTATGGGGAGGCGTGATGAGGAAGTTAGGGCAGTGGCGGGGGGGGAGTTTGGCGTGACGCCCAAGGGACACTGAGTGGGTGAGTTCTGTGCCAGAGACCTGTGAATATGTATCTTTTTAGCAGAAGAGTCCTTTGTGGATCCTAAGATGTATAATATTGTATAAGTTCATTTGTGCACATGTACCAGGTGCTGGCTACAGCCTGTACCACACTGAGCGGTATAGTGCTGTATCATTCTTTCATTGTAATATAATAAAAAAACTTTTATACAACAGCTTGTCACTGGCTTCCATTCTTTTCAGTCTCCAGATTTTCTATTGCATTATTTAGTCACCTAATAAAAGGCATTTCATTTTCTACCAAATGACCTGTCACAGAGCTTTGATAAACGTGTATCACAGGGGCCTCTCTAGGTTATTGGTAAGACTGGTTTTCTAGGTCTGAACAGACCGATAACCTCAATGTTATCATTCTGGTGCTGGCCTGCCCATGCCGTCAGTTCTGTTGTTTTAACATGAGCTGACAGCACATGTGTTCAGGTCAAGCTCACAAGATGCACCAGACCATCAGGTCCCAAATCCATTATTCTGCGTTTCCTCACAGCGAAGAATGAGATGAGGACAGACTTGGCTTTTTTAATTCGGCTTTGAGCAGCCTCAGATCTCTGAGGGGGAAGGCGGAAATATCCACCAGCAAGTACCATCCTGTTTAATGAACCAGGCGTGAGGCTGAAAAGCAGATCACAACCTCTCAGATCAGTTCCCAAGTGCAATTAAATACACGCCAATGTGCCCAGCTATCTTTGGAACTCTTGGAAACGTATTTGTCCAGGTTTTGGAAGTGTCCAGCTTGTCAGGGACAGCGCTTGGAACAGGAAACAAAACACAACAGGAGGAGTTGCACTGTTTAAACCGGATGATCCACACCAGAGTCTGGCATTGTAAAAATACACACACTGTCGTAGGCATCATCTTCCAGGTACAAACCACGGAAGAGATCTTGGCGACATGTCAGGCATGTGACACTACAGCCTGGAGATCACTATCAGGTTTGACCCTGATGTGGGTGACGGAAGCTTAGACATAAATTCCACTGTACAGATCTGGAAAACAACCACTTCAGCCACCGAGATTCTTTCAATGTCATGCCTGGGGTTGGGATTGGGTGGGTATGACCTGTCCAGCCAGCATCAAGGATCCCAGCTTTAATCAGCGAGGCATTTATCAGCGCTGAAATATGAGAAAGGGTCTGTTTTTACTTCATCGAGAAATGTACAATATTTTCATTCAGTCATAGGAAACAATGGGATTTAGGGTGGTGGAGTGTGGAACAAGCTGTTCTCAGATTTTAAACCTACCGGAGGGAGAGCTATTGCATTTGCTAATTAAAGTCAAATTCCAAGCTCTTGAGTTGGGGAAAAAAAATCTTGCAAATGTTACCATCAGGCAGCTTATTCATTTCAAGTCAGGCATCAGTTCGATAACCCAGGTCAGCTGGGATGAAGCCCAGCAGGTGTGTGGGTCAGCAGGGACCTGGGACCCCCTGGTCTAGAGGACGAGTGAAGGGACACAGACAGATGGGTCAGGCGTTCAGGGTCACCAGAGGTAAAAGGAGAATTTTGACCTCTTCGTGAAACAGTCTTCCTGTCTTCTTGCTTCCCTGGCATACCAGCAGGGCACTTTCTGCAGGAGCTTATGGTAAGTGAGATGTGTAATCTCGTTTTATGGTTTACGAGAAAACTGGCAGTATTTTGACATCCTAAAGTAACGCTTTTCTAACATTGTGCAATCCAAAGTGAGACTTACTTCGGTCTCCCTTCCATTTTCTGTACTGGAGACCCCTGCTGGCTGATACTGAACATGACACAAACAGACTTTGCCCTGCGGCCTGCAGTTTCAGACTCTCTCTTAGGGCCACTGAACTCCTAGTGTCACAAACATATTCTTACTGCACTTCACTCGCCTCCTGATACAGGATCCTGCTCACTGTCTATCTGACCCAGACAGTGGCTATTACTGAGCTACACCTTTCGCCAGGTAGCCGGCCCATGTTCCAAACCACAGCATGAAATGACTGAAAGCCCAGGTGTAAAGAGGTATTTGGGTATTAAAGCAGACAGGGAACCGAGCTCTTACAATGTGTTCAAGAGGTTTTTACAGCTGCTTCTGTCCCCTGGACACTTATCAACACCTAACAGGCCTGTGCCTCTGTATTTCACAAAGAATCACCCAGGAGACACTCCAACACTGCAACAGTACCGACACACTTTATTAAGTAAAACGGATTTTAAAAGAGTTAGACTAACTGCAGTATAAAACATCTTGAGACAGAGGTACGACACAGTAAATCTGCTTAAATACTCCCCCACCCCCCCTCATTTTTCCTGAAGCTAGTTTGCTGCCCAGCCCATCTACTCAAATGGTTGTCAGCTCGTTAAGGAATTCGTGTAGCAGTGTCAGGCCTGGCCACAATTAGTTTAATTTAATGAAAAATATATATTTATATACATACACATACTTTAGAAAATAATTTAACCTGCCGCGTGACCAGACAAAAGTGGCGTCAGAGCCCAGGTCAGGGCAGAAGTGCCAGCTGTGAAGCAGAAGAGGGGAGAGCCCGGGTGCGAGGCAGTGGAGACTGCAGAGACGGCCCTGCTGCGCGCAGCCTAGCTGGGCTGAAGCCGCGAACAGCGAGCAACGAGCAGGCCTGCAAGCAGTACCTTCCCTAGGGCACGTCAGCCTTCCAGCCCAACTGCCTCCAGCAACACCAGAGCCAATTAAGCGAAGCTGACTCGTCCACCCCCCCCATCCAGAACGTGGCATGCCGCAGGTCCACTGGGGTCCGGACACCACCTCCTTAACATGAAACCAGCTTTCTGAAGAAAGGTTACGAAGCAGAAAGGAATGCCACGAGGTTAGGACCATGTGAAATAAATAGAGTAGGTTACGTCTTTGAATCACGTACAAGTTTGACAATTCAAAAAATAAAACTCTTAGTGACAGAGTATGACGAAACGAAAAAATGAAATGAGACCTGGGGAAAAAAAAAGTGGTACACTGCATATTCATGATCAAACTCTAAAAACACCTAATGGACAAAGTCAACATAAAAAACTACGTAACTGGGACATCTCTTTTCTTATTTCATTCTCTTCACTCCAGAACCTGCTGCTCTGGAGGCCATGATCATAGATGGTTTTTTAAACCAAACACGACACAATTTATACATACTCTTAAAAACACTCGATATGCATTTGTACATGTTCAGATGTACACATCTACATATAATTGTACATTACCTGAGACTTCAAGGCAGCACTGAAGCTGACAGATTAAAAGGTAAGACAGGGGCAGAGAATTTGGACTGCCCTGAGCGCAGGCCCAGGGCTTGGTCAGGACAGTCACAGAGCAAGAGGCCTGAAGAGCATTCATTATGGTCTTCAGCAGACAGCTAGGCAGAGTATCCAGGCCCAGTTTTCTGACCTGACAGTACATGGTAACAGCCCACAGGAGGCTACGTGAGAGGCCCTCAGGAACCCCAGCTCAGCCACATGACCACTCTTCTTTGTCCCTATAGGTGCAAAGGGCTCCAGTGTGTCCCTCCCGAGCAGAGACGCGCTCCGGCCCGATCTCAGACGAACTGGTTCGATTTCTGGGGAGTGGCTGCACTGGCCAGATTCTTGGCCTTCTCTGTGGCGTTGAAGGCCGTCTCTTTCGCTTTTTCACCGGCGTCTTTCGGGGTGTCCTTCCGGCTCCTCGCCGGTCCCTCTCCTGTACGGAGAAATGAAAGCTCGGATGAAAGCCCGGCCTTGGATTACAGTGACGTGACCCACACTGGTGAATAGGTATTCATAGAGGTAGAGGGAGGGGTTGCTGGGAGGAAGCCACCATCTTGGCTCAACCCAACACCACTGGGCCTGGGATTTGAGCCAAGATGGTGGCTTTCTCACAAAGCCAGCTCTCACAACATCACAGGGTCCCAAGCTGGTCCCCAGCTACACTGTCTCTTTGGGAAAGACCATGGAAAATGGTCTCTGGTACACACTGACAGTCAAACACAGGAGTTCTGGGATTAATTAAACCTTTCCTTCCTTTTTTCAAATGAGCTCGAAAGATAGATGTTCTAGTCTGCCTAGTCCGTCATACTTTCACAGTCTTAAAAGGAGCCGTTGTCCTGTTGTTTAATCGCAACAGGAGGCTGTGCGGACGTTTCCGATTCCTGCTGAAGACACAAGTGCCCCGATCGCCCGGGCGGCACCGCGAGGGGGTGAGAACCAGCGAGGGACTGCCACAATCGGGGTCGTTTCCTCGTGAAGTGAAGGCGCCAGTCCTGCAGGGGGCTGAATCAGTTGTGTGCTGCGTCTACGCCGACGGAGCTCGAAGCAAAATCGGGACAAGTCGTCCAATTCAAATACGAGGGCTGAGCAAATAGCCACATGTAAAATGTAAAAACCGCAAAGTCAGTTTCCTCAATCTGTATTTGCAAACTTGGGGAAAAAAAATGGTGCCCTGAGGCGTCAGACATGCAGTCTTCTTCCTTGTTCAACAACTGCACCGCGACCTGACTGAAATCTCTCCAGTCAGATAAGAATGCTGAAGGTCTTCAGCTGACTGAACACAGACTGGTGAAGGGAAGGAGGCAGCACACTTCCTGCCAACTCCTGAAATTGAGAGTTTATTTTTGATTTTTGGGGGGGAAATGTCTGTTCTACGTCCTGTGGGGAGGCAATATGTCCCAGTTCCCAGCACACAGCGTCCCCCCTTCGTTTCTCAATTTCCAGAGAGGCAGGAGCCAGGGCTCAGCTGTGGAATGCAAGGCCCTGTGCACTCAAGCAGGAGAAAGAAAACTCTTTTAAGAGAAAATACAATATACTAACAAGACTTTCAGAATAGGAATTCTCTGTGAACGCTGGGCAATGCAACAACCTTTATGGAACTATGTGAGAACTGAGTGGAGACGATACTGTATAGGAACAAGTAATAGGTTTATTCCATGCTGAAAAGAGAAGAGAGAAAAGAGAGAGAGAAGAGAGAAAACAACGTTTCGGCTGTGAAGCCTTCTTCACCTGAATAAGGCTTCACAGCCAAAACTTTGTGTTTTTTCTCTTCTCTTTTCAGCATGGAATAAACCTATTACTTGTTCCTTTGCAGACTAGGCATGCTGACGCAGCTCCCCACCTGACGATACTCTATGACAGGAATGGAATTCAAATTGCTCGTGCAGTTGAGAGGAAACCATGGTGAGAGGCCTGCAGTGCAACAGGGATTCACCTGCTATTTACTGAAAAGGCAGATTTGGTCATTTATCTAATTCTGCTTTTGACTCAATTTTGACTCAAGTGGATTTGTTTGCATTTCTGCTTCTCTGTCTTACTTTACAGACAAAACTGTTGGTGCTTTTAAGCACCCAGGCACCAGTCTGCGCACTAGCAGGGACAAACATGTTTTTGGCGATCCCTTTAATAATAATTATAATAATAATAATTGCTTACACTTATATAGCGCTTTTCTGGACACCCCACTCAAAGCGCTTTACAGGTAATGGGGATCCCCTCCACCACCACCAATGTGCAGCCCCCACCTGGATGATGCGACGGCAGCCATAGTGCGCCAGAACGCTCCCCACACACCAGCTATCAGTGGGGAGGAGAGCAGAGTAATGAAGCCAATTCATAGATGGGGATTATTAGGAGGCCATGATTGGTAAGGGCCAATGGGAAATTTGGCCAGGACGCCGGGGTTACACCCCTACTCTTTTCCAGAAATGCCCTGGGATTTTTGAATGACCACAGAGAGTCAGGACCTCGGTTTTACGTCTCATCCGAAGGACGGCGCCTGTTTACAGTAAAGTGTCCCCGTGACTATACTGGGGCATTAGGACCCACATGGACCACAGGGTTAACATCTTTGTATTGGAGCATACATGTTGCTGCTGGGGCTGATGTTCCCAAAGCACTGCAGTGCTGTGCTGTCACTGTTGGTGAAGCATGCTGCCGTGCCCCAGTGCTTTTCATAAGAAACACATTGTTCCTGGACCACAGCTGAAAACAGCACAACACTGCTTGAAGCCCTGGTGTGCATGACCAATACAAACCGTCAGTAAGCCAGCCCTCATGGGGGAGAACATGGGATTGAAAAGCAGCCAAACACTGAGGTCAGATACACATTCTCTAAAGAAATCTCTTAGGTATTAAGAAGCAGAAGAGCAAGCTTTTCAAATACCATGAAGAAAACAACAATAAAAGATTAAGTCAACCCACTAACCTACTTGAGTATTAACAGTCACACAATTACCAGAGGCCCAAAGTAGAAACAGTTTTGAAGTGCATTGAAAACTGAGAAAAAGAGGCACTTCTTTCTGCAATCGGTTGTGGAAGTATGGAGCCCGTGTTGTTGAAGCCAATACGCTGGACTCCATCAAGAAATGGCTGAATGAAATCCCTGAATCAATTAGCTTATAACAACCAAATACTAGATGGGCCAAAGTTTTATTTTCTAAAGTGCCTGAACTGCAGGGTTTTTTCAGTCTATATGCCATGCTGGTTTCAGGTGGAGATATATCGAGTGGAATCTTAATTTAGGCCTTCTCCAACGACCTTCAGGCTGGACTGGTGCTGCACAAGCCGGGATAACCAAGCCCTGTTTTTGGTCACAGGAAGCTAAGCTGATTCTGCCTACAAAGTCCCTGGCAGCACTAGAGCAGGTCTGGTACCGTGTAGGTACTGCAAACCCAAGGCCATAAAGAGCCTACTGCAGGTCCATGTAGTTTAAGACTGCGCAAGCCTACTGAATGTTAACATTATAGGCCGAGGATCTTCTGGAATAAAGTGTTTTACGCCAAAATGTTAAGTATCTGGAAACCACCCCCCAGGAATTTATATCAGCACCTTTTAAAGCAAGCTGAACTATATCAAGGAATTTTGCTTTTATTTTATACCATCATGGCTAACTAGGTTACAAAAAAGATAAGAACTTTTAAAAATACACCGGAGCACCAATCTGAACTATTTTGGGACAGCCCCAGCTGTTTTCCGGACGTCCATGGGAGAGGTTGTTGTGTATTATCTCTGCTTCTCCCCGCCAGCTCCTGTGAGCTGCTGACACACCCCTGAGAGGCGCCATTCCTTTCCCAAGCACCTCCCAGACCCGGCCTGAGCTCCGTCCGGCAGCGCGGCGAGCTCCAGCAACAGGAGGGGGGCGACGTTTCTCCACGCCTGATCAGCACCAAGGCATCTCCATAACCCGTCCGCAACATTATTTCTGATTAAAGACCAAAACAAATAAGGAACTTCAAAAGTCATTTTGCATGTCTGGCGGACAACGGTCTCCATACTGAATGAAGTAAAGGGGAAACAGAACTAGGAACAAAAAGACAAACATTCCAATGCAAATCACAGCTCTCAGTTTAAGATCCAGCTTTAATATTTCACTGAGTTTGTACAGAAACATGTTCTGTAGGGCAGGGGCGACCAGCCCTGGTTGTGGAAGACTACTCTCTCTTCGGTTTTCTGTGCCAGCCGAGTTCTTAATCACAGGCTGATTCACTTCTCCGCTTGGGGCACATTTGTAAATGTGCTTCCGGCTCTTTAAAAGGGCAGATGGGATTTGTGATTTACATCTGCCCTGTGTCACGTCATGTCGCTCAGGCGATCAAGCTTAGAGTTTGTTCTCAGGTCTTGGCTTGATTAGTTCCCATTTGAATTTGGTCAGAAAGCACAGACGACTATTGTTCTCTATCACCTGTTTACTGTTCTGGCTTTTAATGACAGTGACAATAATCACTTTTTATTGTGTTCCGGTTTGTAGTATACTGTCCACATTGTGTGGCGTTGTGTGCCGTACTGTGTAGGTATGTGTCCATACTGTACAGCCATAACCTCCTCTAATCAACTCTGCTTCTTGCTTTCTGACTATGCTTCGCTTTGATCGGACACTTGGCTCCCGGGTTTTTATGTCTGTGATCTTGGCTTAGCTCGCTTTAACTTTGCTTGTGGATTTCCCTGGTGTTTTCTTTCCATGTTTACCTGGCTCCAAACGTAGCTAGCACTTGCACTACGCTTCTGTTTTTTCCTTCAAACTGTCTTTGGACCCCCTGCCAGCTTCGTCTGCACTTGGGTTCTCTGGACTGTCTTGGACACCCTTCTCATCCAAGTACGGGCAGTGATATTACACCATGTACCAGCTTCTGAATTTCAGAGCTGTCCTCTTTCTGGTGTGCTGCCTGAAGTGGAACCAACTGATCTGCAGGAGGAAAACAATGCTCACTGAGTTTTGACACATTGAAACCGTGTCACTCCTCCCTGTGTCTGTTCATCCTAAATCAGTCATCTGGCTAGAGTCAGGGAGAGGGAGGGTTCATTGTGCCAAGGTTGTTATTTTTTGACACTCAGGACTGACCGAAGAAATGAATGACGTCACATTCTAAACAAACCAGCAGGTCAATTCAGGCATCTGTTAGCACTGGAGATCTAGAGCTCAGCTGGAAAGAACAGACTACGTTCCCCATGGACCCAGCCTGGGAATCAGTGCAGTAGAGAGCGCGAGAACGAGTCTCCTTTTAAACCCCAACAAACAGAGTGGGAACAACAACAGCACTAAGCTAAAGAACCCGGTCAGAACGTATTTGGAATATTACACTAAATTCTCTGCAAAGGAACAAGTAATAGGTTTATTCCATGCTGAAAAAAAGAAGAAAGAGAACACAACGTTTCGGCCGTGGAGCCTTCTTCAGGTGTGCATAAATTCTCTGCATACAACTTTAAGGATCGCAAATCACAACACAGTGGCCCAGCACCTTTAGTGACTCGAGAAATACATTAAAAGATCTCATGGCA